ATCACCCTGGGGCTCCTCAGCCACAACCACCACCACTATCACCACCCTCACCCTGGGGCTCCTCAGCCACAACCACCACCACTATCACCACCCTCACCCTGGGGCTCCTCAGCCACCACCATCACCATCACCACCCTGGGGGTCCTAGGCTAACCGCAGATCCATCTCTCACTTGGTTGATTTTCACGGCTTCTGTCTGAGACGGGTGGCGGTGCTCCTTCAGCCTCTCTGTGAAGGAAGGTCACGCCTGGGGGTAGCCAACACCCAAGGTAGCGTTGGGAAAGTGTTGCATATGCGTGGTTAAGAAGCGGGGTTCACTGTAGTGTTATCTAGCGATGACTGGAACGTAGCAACAAAAGAGACAGAACGACAGACAGACGACAATAACTATCGTCCCCAGAACGTGAGACGGGTAACAAACGGTCGCTTTTAGGCACCACTCGAGAGGAAAACCTTCTTCCAGAGAAGCATTATAACTTACAGTATAACTTCCGGTGCCTCCACTCTGTCATCTTACTACCCATCAAAGCAGCAATAACACTGATGGACTCGCCAGTATTGCATTGCGACAATCATCATTGATGACTCTTGATGCTCTCATCATTCAGTCGAGTATCAATCCCAGTGGCAAAAAGACTCGATTTTGCTCATGAACTCCTACACGCGAATCCTTCCCAATGGGGCAATCTGATTGCCTTTACTGTCAGACATGGCCAACTAAATCTGATCAGAAGGGATCAGAGGCAGTCATAACCCATTATTGCCAATACATGGTTAATGTTAAAAGGTTCCTTTTTATACCCGCTTCCGGCTAACATAAGAAGCAGCAAGTATCGTAATTTTTAATTGAGCCTGCTCGACTGAACCCTTGATTGTGCGTTCTCTTCCCTGAGCTGGCGGTGTGCCAAAAATCTTTTATCACGCTGTAAGTCAAATACTGATTTGTAGATTTTAATTATTCGGAGGTTTGGCATATACGTTGTGAACCCTTAGCTCTCTGTTTTGATGTACTGGGAGTTCTGTTATGGACTGCACTTCTACCTTGTGGAAGTACAGTCCGTCCTCAGAGTAGTAGTCAGGAGCCAGATTCACGAAGCAGTTACGCAAGCACTTACGAACCTGTACATCTTTTCTCAACCTTTGGCGGCTTTGTTTACAATTATTAAACAGTTAATGAGCTCCGAAGCACCAGGAGGCTGTTTATAACAATAACAACAGTTGATTGGCAAGTTTTCATGCCTGTAAACTGCTTAATGAATGTAACCAAAGCCGTCAAAGATTGAGGAAAGATGTACACGTTCGTAAGTGCTGGCGTAACTGCTTCGTGAATCTGGCCCCCAGGAGCCCTCAACCCCTTCCTTAAGCCTTGCTGCTACTCCCATGTTGCGGCCATCACACGGTATAATAACTAGTTATTTTTCTGGAAACGTTGGTCAAAAGTTCTTCAATCCTGCAGCCGCTCGCACTGTTTGTAGACTAAAAACACTTTTCAAGTGACTCGCGACTGAGTGCCTTCGAACCTTTCTCGAAAATTGTTTCCTTTCCTTCCTATGTTCATAGCTTGGACGAGCGTGATTTCTTAAGGTTGGGTTGTAGTGTGTGTGTCTTGGACTTTTATATCTGTTTATCACTATCTCTCTCTCGCTCTCCCGCTTTTTATTCTCCGCCTCTCTCTCCTACTCCCTCCGTTATTTTACTCCTTTCCCCTCGCCCAAGTGGTACCGATTACGAAGCTTTCCTTTCCCAGCCAGCTGAGAAGATCAGTGTTAGAGGTAACTTCTGATAATTTCCTGTAATCACTGGCAAGATGGAAAGAAAGTGTGGCTCTCTCATCCCCTTGTTCCTCTTCCTAAGTGTCCCCTAGTGTGGCTCTCTCATACCCTTGTTCCTCTTCCTAAGTGTCCCCTGGCCCAGCCCTCACCATGCCAAGCATGGTAGGGGGGCCTGGTAGCCTGGTGGATAGCGCGCAGGACTCGTAATTCTGTGGCGCGGGTTCGATTCCCGCACCAGGCAGAAACAATTGGGCAAAGTTTCTTTCACCCTGAATGCCCCTGTTACCTAGCAGTAAATAGGTACCTGGGAGTTAGTCAGCTGTCACGGGTTGCTTCCTGGGGGGGGTGTGTGTGGTGAGAGAGAGAGAAAAAAAACGTAGTTAGTAAACAGTTGATTGACAGTTGAGAGGCGGGCCGAAAGAGCAAAGCTCAACCCCCGCAAACACAACTAGGTGAATACAACTAGGTGAATACATCGTTATAGAGACGTTGGTGAAAATATGCCAACCTATACTGTTTCCTATTTCTGCTATTTCTCTTGTGTAAACTCTCCTTTCCTCCTCCTCCTCTTCCTCGTCTATCAACTCTTCCTCTTATGTCACTACTTTTCTTGCATCTGATCTTTCCCTCGTTTTCTTCCACCTCTTTTCTATCCCTTTCTTCCTCTGACTTCTCCCCCATCCTGCTTATCCGCATCATGCTTCTGTAACCTACTAGGTAACTGGGGGGAGTTACATAGGAAACTCAACAGAGTAACCAAGATCCTTAAGAACAGGTATACCAATGATAATATCTCTAACAAAGCAAAAGAACTGCGAGACGGATTTCTGAAGTCATAGTAGCAGAGATAAAAATTTTCAGACTTCACCCTTCCCCCCTAGGGCAAGCCCCTAACCCCCCCCTCTCTCTCTCTCTCTCTCTCACTCTCTCACCCATTTGCCGTGCCTATTCCTCCCCTGTGCTGGCCCCTCCTTGCCCAACACCCTCTCCCCGCCTCCTCGTCCGTGCCTCCGGAATATTGGTGTAGATCAGCGTCATGAGGGGGAAGGAATAGGAGTTTGATGAAGGACATTATTTCCAGCCCGAGAAGCGAGGGTTGGGGGGAGGGATCGACGTTATGGTGATTGGAAGAGATGAACCAGGCCACCATACGCGTGTGGGGTCATGGTGAGCATGATAGAAATTTTAGAGGACATGGTTACCATTTTGTGTGTATGTGGGGGGGGGGACGAGTTGATGTACCCGACTAATGTCGAATGGTAATGGCTGTAGTGCTATTATGGTGGTGATGTCCGTGGGCTGTGACCGTGACCCCTGACCCGTGACCTCTGACCCGTGACCGTGGCTGTTGATCAAATTACCAGAAAGAAAACAAATTGGTTAAAAGAAGTGTTTAAACTGGTCTGTCTCTGTTAGGGTGGGATAGTACATCTTGGCGATTTATTCAGACCTTCAACATGACAACTGGAGAGTGAGAGGAGCTTTCGTTGGTTTTACTGGGAGAGTTGCTGGCAGCTTGGTGCTGACAGCTTGGTGCTGGCAGCTTGGTGCTGGCAGCTTGGTGCTGGCAGCTTGGTGCTGGCAGCTTGGTGCTGGCAGCTTGGTGCTGGCAGCTTGGTGCTGACAGCTTGGTGCTGACAGCTTGGGGCTGGCAGCTTGGTGCTGGCAGCTTGGTGCTGGCAGCTTGGGGTGGCAGCTTGGTGCTGACAGCTTGGTGCTGACAGCTTGGGGCTGACAGCTTGGGGCTGACAGCTTGGGGCTGACAGCTTGGTGCTGACAGCTTGGGGCTGACAGCTTGGGGCTGACAGCTTGGTGCTGACAGCTTGGGGCTGACAGCTTGGTGCTGACAGCTTGGGGCTGACAGCTTGGTGCTGACAGCTTGGTGCTGACAGCTTGGGGCTGACAGCTTGGTGCTGGCAGCTTGGTGCTGACAGCTTGGTGCTGGCAGCTTGGTGCTGGCAGCTTGGTGCTGGCAGCTTGGTGCTGACAGCTTGGGGCTGACAGCTTGGGGCTGGCAGCTTGGTGCTGACAGCTTGGGGCTGACAGCTTGGTGCTGACAGCTTGGGGCTGACAGCTTGGGGCTGACAGCTTGGGGCTGACAGCTTGGTGCTGGCAGCTTGGTGCTGGCAGCTTGGTGCTGACAGCTTGGTGCTGGCAGCTTGGGGCTGACAGCTTGGTGCTGGCAGCTTGGTGCTGGCAGCTTGGTGCTGGCAGCTTGGTGCTGGCAGCTTGGTGCTGGCAGCTTGGGGCTGGCAGCTTGGTGCTGGCAGCTTGGTGCTGGCAGCTTGGGGCTGGCAGCTTGGGGCTGACAGCTTGGTGCTGACAGCTTGGTGCTGGCAGCTTGGGGCTGGCAGCTTGGGGCTGACAGCTTGGTGCTGGCAGCTTGGGGCTGACAGCTTGGTGCTGACAGCTTGGTGCTGGCAGCTTGGGGCTGGCAGCTTGGTGCTGACAGCTTGGTGCTGGCAGCTTGGTGCTGGCAGCTTGGTGCTGGCAGCTTGGTGCTGGCAGCTTGGTGCTGACAGCTTGGTGCTGACAGCTTGGTGCTGGCAGCTTGGTGCTGGCAGCTTGGGGCTGACAGCTTGGTGCTGACAGCTTGGTGCTGGCAGCTTGGTGCTGGCAGCTTGGGGCTGACAGCTTGGTGCTGACAGCTTGGTGCTGGCAGCTTGGTGCTGGCAGCTTGGTGCTGGCAGCTTGGTGCTGGCAGCTTGGTGCTGACAGCTTGGTGCTGGCAGCTTGGGGCTGGCAGCTTGGTGCTGACAGCTTGGTGCTGACAGCTTGGTGCTGGCAGCTTGGGGCTGACAGCTTGGTGCTGGCAGCTTGGTGCTGGCAGCTTGGTGCTGGCAGCTTGGTGCTGGCAGCTTGGGGCTGACAGCTTGGTGCTGACAGCTTGGGGCTGACAGTTCTGGTGTACCGTTGTCTGGGCCAGGAAGCCCTGTTGGTGCTCATAGGTCTACCTAGCATGGGGGGGAGAGGGCCGTCCTTGCTGTCATTAACTGGCCAAACCCTAACGATGGTGATGAATTGGTGATAGTGTTCTTTTTACTGACCAAATATTCCAGAGTCTTGAGGGGGGGGGGGGTCTTTGATACTGATTCGACCTCCCACTGTGGAGAGTGGGGCCTGGTCCCACTGTGGAGAGTGGGGCCTGGTCCCACTGTGGAGAGTGGGGCCTGGTCCCACTGTGGAGAGTGGGGCCTGGTCCCACTGTGGAGAGTGGGGCCTGGTCCCACTGTGGAGAGTGGGGCCTGGTCCCACTGTGGAGAGTGGGGCCTGGTCCCACTGTAGAGAGTGGGGCCTGGTCCCACTGTAGAGAGTGGGGCCTGGTCCCACTGTAGAGAGTGGGGCCTGGTCCCACTGTCGAGAGTGGGGCCTGGTCCCACTGTGGAGAGTGGGGCCTGGTCCCACTGTCGAGAGTGGGGCCTGGTCCCACTGTGGAGAGTGGGGCCTGGTCCCACTGTGGAGAGTGGGGCCTGGTCCCACTGTGGAGAGTGGGACCAGCAAGAGGCCAATGCATAGAACACGTTAATATTACAGCGCTTTCATGTTAAAGCTGCGTCGCGTTTTACTCGATTTCGTAATTAATGCGACGTATGAGGCGAGAGAACAACACGTATTAAACACGGGCCATCCTGAATCACATTATTTGAAGAACATTATAAGGTAATTATCCGGTAATAACAATAAGGACTTTGAACAGGTTGAAATCTTTGGTATAGTAATTGCTTGATGTCTCTCCTCCTCCTCCTCCCCCCCCCCCTCCCCGCCCCCAGTGATGGTTGAACACTTAGACACCAAGGGCCAGATTCACGAAGCAGTTACGCAAGCACTTACGAAGCTGTCCATCTTTTCTCAATCTTTGGCGGCTTTTGTTTACAATTATTAAACAGTTAATGAGCTCCGAAGCACCAGGAGGCTGTTTATAACAATAACAACAGTTGATTGGGAAGTTTTCATGCTTGTAAACTGTTTAATAAATGTAAACAAAGCCGCCAAAGATTGAGGAAAGATGTACACGTTCGTAAGTACTTGCGTAACTGCTTCGTGAATTTTTGCCCCATGTTCAGAGCTTGTTGAAGAACGTGTATTTTGTGTCAGATGTTCGGGGAGTGGCACTGTGCCCCTCGGGATGGGGGGGGGGGCTGTTTGTCCCACAGTAACACCGTTCTTGCAAACTTATCTTAGGAATTTAAACCAAATCAAACGTGGAAGTACTATGTTATAGAAAACCCCACACACACACACACACACACACACACACAGACGTTAGAAAGAATTTTTTCAGTATCAGCGTAGTTAATAAATGGAATGCATTAGGCAGTGATATGGTGGAGGCTGACTACATACAGTTTCAAATGTAGATATGATAGAGCCCAATAGGCTCAGGAACTTGTACACCAGTTGATTGTCAGTTGAGAGGCGGGACCAAAGAGCCAAGGCTCAACCCCCGCAAGCACAATTAGGCGAGTACACACACACACACACACACACACACGTTTTTATAAACTAGATAAACATCTATATACATTAGCATGTATTATGGTACCCTTGCAAGCAGCAATATCAGCTGAATATAGATTGCGGTGAGCAGGTGTTAATGCAATAAGCTTGTTACCTGCTGGACAATAACGCACATTGCATGCAATAACATTTGGCCATAACCCAAAATCGGATTAAAATACATTGGAAATATAATGGTCGGAGGAAAAAATAGTTCTTTCAGTCAAATATCGCATGATGACGGTCTATAAGGTCTAGTTCATGCTTAAGTTGGCTTTGAAAAGTCGGCCAAAATATTGTGGTATAAAAAATTAAGCAAATACCAGTTTTTATTTTATTTTATTTTATTGTAAACCTCTTTGAAAGATCTTAAATATAGAAGTATAATAAACATTAGCCTATTAACGATGACGAAAACAGGTGGAGTTTACATGGAGAAAGGTTACACTTACGGGAAGGTTACCTTGCGTTGGTTCCTTGGATCAACGTCCCCCGGCCCGGTCTCTGACCAGGCCTCCTGCAAGCTGGGGCCTCCAGCTGGCTCAACCAGACAGTTGGACGCGGCTGCTCGCAGCCTCGCACATGAATCATAGATTGATTGATCAGGTATCCTTTTGGAGGTGTTTATCAAGTTTTCTCTTGAGCCTTTGACGTTGATAGTTCTCGGTGTGTGTGCCTATTGCACCTTTGCTTTTCAGTGGGGCTATTTTGCGCTTCCTACTGGTCTCGTGTGATGTTATTTCCGTGTACAGATTTGGAATTGGTCCCCTCTAATATTTTCAAAGTGTAAACTATTATGCAGATCTCCCGCCTGCAGCCTAGGGAATGCAGATTTAAAAATTATAAGCAGTTCTAATGATTTAGATGTTTTATGGAGTGGAGGGAAGGGAGTTCATGGGGGTAGAAGATGCACCTTTCCTGCATGTATATTTTATGTGTGCCCAAGAGTGCAGAACATGCCATGACATGGAATATATTCAAGCATTTAAAACCAGACATAGTGAGGAACACGAGTAAAAACAAAAGCCAAACAACCAGTATTCAAATCATTTCTTATTCGCTGCCAGACGTACAGCTTAAAATATTCAGTTGCAATTCAGATAAAAAAACATGTGAAAAGCAGATGTAGGCAAGACATTAGGTATATTTTACTACGGGAGACCTGCACTCTGATTGAAATGAATAATAAATACTACCTTACAGAGACGCAAGCGGCTTGGCGAACATTGAAAAATTTTGTGTAATAATATTAATAATTGTGTAGCCTAATGCGAGTATTTTCCTCTACTAAGCTACACCAAACATTTGTTATTACACAAGTAGAACACAAATCTTTAATTATGTAAGTGTGTTGTTAGGTTCAAGCTCCAGCTCCTGGACCACACCTCTCTTACCTTGTCATATTTGTTTTTTTACAATTTAAAGTTGACTGACCTCCCTACCTCAGTCAGGCTTTACCCCGGTTAAAACACAGCCTCGTACCGCTACTCTACCAGCCCACGACGGATCGAATGAAATTGTAATGCAGGCTCTGGGGGGGCTGTCGTCTTTCCACCTTGATGGTATCTACTCAAGTTGAGTGATCCAACTCTCCTAGCCAGCCAGAATTTATTTTATCGGTGTGTTTCTCCAAAGGTATCGAATGCCTTACATTTTTTTTTTGTCTTCATGCCTCCTGCTCTGTTTAGAAATGCTGTATAGTCTTGTGTAGATCAGTGTATAAAAATACACCAGAAATAAATAAATAAATATATATATATATATATATATATATATATATATATATATATATATATATATATATATATATATATATATATATATATATATATATATATATGTGTGTGTGTATAGAAGAAAATAGCTCATATATGGCGGGAAAGATGAGAAGCAAGTATTATATCTATATGTATCCATATGTATGTCTATCTCTCACGGTGACGTAAGATATGTACCATGGGGTAAGTGCGGCTGACGCCAGCGTGCTCAAGCGGAAACGGGTATCGAACACCTGGTCATAAATGTCTGCCAAATACAGCGATGTATTGGGTTTTATCGCGGTCTGAATCGGCCCAGATTTGAGGCCCTTGGGGTGAGCTGGGTTACCCTGGGGGGTGCCTAATGGGCCTTTGCTGCCCCCTGCCACACGGCCCATTGTTGCTTGCTCGGATTGCCAGTGCACATACGACACTCTTGCTCTGACGGTAGCACTTGTCTCTTGTTTTGTTTTTTCTTGTGCTTATTGTCTTGTCTTGTTTTTTTGTTCTCTAAAAGTAAATTTCCAAATGGCTCGGCTGGAGCCACGGGCAGACAGACTGTGATTGACAAAGATTCATTGATCATTTACCTAAAGTTTTTCCCTGTTAAAATCCTATTTGTTTGTCCGAATGGGAGTGTCTTATCAAGAAATTGGCCCATAGGCTTTTTCTTTTTTTTATCTTGTCAATTAGCGGTCAATAGATTCGAGAAACATGGTCCGGTTGTCTGTAGTGTTCATGCTCTTTCTTACTCTATTTCTGTACGTTTCAAAAGCCTATTTTGCAATTCAAAGCGTGATTGTCTGTGTCCAGTGTTGCACAGTGATTGTCTGTGTCCAGTGTTGCACAGTGATTGTCTGTGTCCGGTGTTGCACAGTGATTGTCTGTGTCCAGTGTTGCACAGTGATTGTCTGTGTCCAGTGTTGCACAGTGATTGTCTGTGTCCAGTGTTGCACAGTGATTGTCTGTGTCCAGTGTTGCACAGTGATTGTCTGTGTCCAGTGTTGCACAGTGATTGTCTGTGTCCAGTGTTGCACAGTGATTGTCTGTGTCCAGTGTTGCACAGTGATTGTCTGTGTCCAGTGTTGCACAGTGATTGTCTGTGTCCAGTGTTGCACAGTGATTGTCTGTGTCCAGTGTTGCACAGTGATTGTCTGTGTCCAGTGTTGCACAGTGATTGTCTGTGTCCAGTGTTGCACAGTGATTGTCTGTGTCCAGTGTTGCACAGTGATTGTCTGTGTCCAGTGTTGCACAGTGATTGTCTGTGTCCAGTGTTGCACAGTGATTGTCTGTGTCCAGTGTTGCACAGTGATTGTCTGTGTCCAGTGTTGCACAGTGATTGTCTGTGTCCGGTGTTGCACAGTGATTGTCTGTGTCCAGTGTTGCACAGTGATTGTCTGTGTCCAGTGTTGCACAGTGATTGTCTGTGTCCAGTGTTGCACAGTGATTGTCTGTGTCCGGTGTTGCACAGTGATTGTCTGTGTCCGGTGTTGCACAGTGATTGTCTGTGTCCGGTGTTGCACAGTGATTGTCTGTGTCCGGTGTTGCACAGTGATTGTCTGTGTCCAGTGTTGCACAGTGATTGTCTGTGTCCAGTGTTGCACAGTGATTGTCTGTGTCCAGTGTTGCACAGTGATTGTCTGTGTCCAGTGTTGCACAGTGATTGTCTGTGTCCAGTGTTGCACAGTGATT